TATCATGTTTTGGTCCGCCAGGGTGCACCTCAGACTGTCCAGGAGCAGCTCAGTGCTTCCCTGGTCCAGATCTGGGAGGAAATCCCCCAGGACACCATCTGTCGTTTCATTAGGAACATGCCCCGACGTTGTCAGGCATGCATACAAGCACGTGGGGGCCATACAAACTACTGAGGACCATTCTGAGTTGCTGCAATGAAATTTCAGCAATATGGACTAGCCTGCTGCATCATTTTTTCACTTTGATATTTTTGGGGTGTCTTTGAATTCAGTCCTGTGTAGGTTGATCATTGTCATTTCCAAACACACCTACTATTCTTCACATTGCTGCTCTCTGCACACCACTGAACTCCTTCACACATATAGGACATCATTTACGGTTTTAAAAGTCTGCTTGTATTCTGCCAGTACTCTTGCCCACTTTCAACATGGCGCTGACCGTATGGACGCATCTACGTCCCTTGGCCTGGAGTCACGTGTCCTGATGCAATCAAGGGATTTAAGCCTGCCCAGGAACCGGCTGTGCCCGCTGCTGTGGTAACCTTGACAGTTCGGTGAGGGATGGTGAGTGGCATGTGTTCACGGCTGTACCGGGGCTAGAAAGGGGTCACCCGGTGATGAGGTCACGGAAGTGCCGGAAAGCGACATGTAGCGGCTGTGCTGGTGTTATAGAAGCATGTGTATCTGGGGGAGGGGGAGCTACCACCAGGCCAGCATGTCCTGCAGACCTAATACTGGTGTACAGGGGCTGACCCGGCCTGCTGGGAGTTCTGGTACCTCGGGCCCACAGCAGTGTACAGCCTGCCGACTGTCCTATTGTCACTGTTGTTACTGTGTAGAAAGTGGGAACACTGGGGGTCACTATATAGAAATTGGGGTCACTGTGGAAATTAGGGACACTGGAGGTCATTGTATAGAAACTGGGGACATGCTAAACAAATTGAGGATACTGGGGGTCACTGTGTAGAAATTGGGGACACGCTATACAAATTGGGGTATTAGGGGTCACTATATAGAAACTGTGGACTTGCTATACAAATTGGGGGTACTGGGGGTCACTATATAGAAACTGGGGACACGCTATACAAATTGGGGTATTGGGGGTCAGTATATAGAAACTGGGGACACGCTATACAAATTGGTGATACTGGGGGGGTCACTGTGTAGAAATTTGGGACACTGTGTAGAAACTGGGGGACATGGGGGGGGACACTGTAAAAATTGGGGACACTGGGGGTTGCTGTGTAGAAATTGGGGTCACTGTGTGAAAATTGGGGATACTGTATAGAAATTGGGGATATGCTATACAAATTGGGGTATTGGGGGGTCGCTATATAGAAACTGGGGACACGCTTTACAAATTGAGGATACTGGGGGTCACTGTATAGAAATTTGGGACACTGTGTAGAAAATGGGGACATGGGGGGGGGGGGGACACTAAGAATTGGGGACACTGGGGGTTGCTGTGTAGTAATTGGGGTCACTGCGTGGAAATTGGGGATACTGTATAGAAACTGGGGACACGCTATACAAATTGGGGATACTGGGGGTCACTGTAGAAATTGGGGGGACACTGTGTCACGGTGTTGAAATTGGGGACACTGTATAGAAACTGGGGACACGCTATACAAATTGGTGATACTGGGGGTCACTGTGTAGAAATTTGGGACACTGTGTAAAAACTGGGGACATGGGGGGGGGGGGGACACTGTAAAAATTGTGTAGAAATTGGAGACACTGTACAGAAATTGGGGACACTATAGAAATTTGGGACACTGGGGGTCACTATTGAAATTGGGGACACTGTATAGATATTGGGGACACTAGGACGGTGGTGTATTCAGGTTTTGTGATTATTTGTGTTCTTGGGTTTAGATGTCATGATTTCCAGTAGATCCTGGAGCAGCCCTCTCAGTATGGAAAAGCACACAGGAAGTATGTGGGGGGAGTGTGTCACACATGTCCAAGTATAGGTCTCTACATACACCGTGCCATCCCTCCCGGTCACTGGTGTGACGTCACCACACAAGAACTGGCAGCTGAAGGCAGAGGTGCGCAGAACAACCAGCGTCCCTTCTGCTGGGGGGTGGGGCCGCCCCCCTGAAAAAAGCCACCCAAGGCAAAAGCCTTGTTTGCCTAAGGGTAAACATGCTCCTGGGTATGAGCGGTGTGGAGGAGTCAGATGGGGGGGATGAGCGGTGTGGAGGAGTCAGATGGGGGGGGATGAGCGGTGTGGAGGAGTCAGATGGGGGGGATGAGCGGTGTGGAGGAGTCAGATGGGGGGGGATGAGCGGTGTGGAGGAGTCAGATGGGGGGGGATGAGCGGTGTGGAGGAGTCAGATGGGGGGGATGAGCGGTGTGAGCAGATGGGGGGGATGTGTGGAGGTGCCAGATGGGGGGGATGAGCGGTGTGGAGGTGTCAGATGGGGGGGGATGAGCGGTGTGGAGGTGCCAGATGGGGGGGATGAGCGGTGTGGAGGTGCCAGATGGGGGGGATGAGCGGTGTGGAGGTGCGGTGTGGAGGTGTCAGATGGGGGGGATGAGCGGTGTGGAGGTGTCAGATGGGGGGGATGAGCGGTGTGGAGGTGCCAGAGCGGTGTGGAGGGGGATGGGGGGGGATGAGCGGTGTGGAGGTGTCAGATGGGGGGGATGAGCGGTGTGGAGGTGTCAGATGGGGGGGATGAGCGGTGTGGAGGGTGTCAGATGGGGGGGATGAGCGGTGTGGAGGTGTCAGATGGGGGGGATGAGCGGTGTGGAGGTGCCAGATGGGGGGGGATGAGCGGTGTGGAGGTGTCAGATGGGGGGGGATGAGCGGTGTGGAGGTGTCAGATGGGGGGGATGAGCGGTGTGGAGGTGTCAGATGGGGGGGATGAGCGGTGTGTGGAGGTGTCAGATGGGGGGGATGAGCGGTGTGGAGGTGTCAGATGGGGGGGATGAGCGGTGTGGAGGTGTCAGATGGGGGGGTATGAGCGGGGTGGAGGTGGATGGGGGGGATGAGCGGTGTGGAGGTGCCAGATGGGGGGGATGAGCGGTGTGGAGGTGTCAGATGGGGGGGGATGAGCGGGTGTGGAGGTGTCAGATGATGAGCGGTGTGGAGGTGTCAGATGGGGGGGATGAGCGGGTGTGGAGGGGTGCCAGATGGGGGGGATGAGCGGTGTGGAGGTGCCAGATGGGGGGGGGAGCGGTGTGGAGGTGCCAGATGGGGGGGGATGAGCGGTGTGGAGGTGTCAGATGGGGGGATGAGCGGTGTGGAGGTGTCAGATGGGGGGGGGGATGAGCGGTGTGGAGGTGTCAGATGGGGGGGATGAGCGGTGTCAGATGATGAGCGGTGTGGAGGTCAGATGGGGGGGGGATGCGGTGTGGAGCGTGTGTGGAGGTGCCAGATGGGGGGGGATGAGCGGTGTGGAGGTGTCAGATGGGGGGGATGAGCGGTGTGGAGGTGTCAGATGGGGGGGATGAGCGGTGTGGAGGTGTCAGATGGGGGGGATGAGCGGTGTGGGTCAGATGGGGGGTGAGCGGTGTGGAGGTGTCAGATGGGGGGGGATGAGCGGTGTGGAGGTGTCAGATGAGGGGGGGGATGAGCGGTGTGGAGGGGTCAGATGGGGGGGAGGTGTGGAGAGTCCAGATGGGGGGGATGAGCGGTGTGGGGGTCAGATGGGGGGGGATGAGCGGTGTGGAGGTGTCAGATGGGGGGGATGAGCGGTGTGGAGGTGTCAGATGGGGGGGATGAGCGGTGTGGAGGTGTCAGATGGGGGGGATGAGCGGTTGTGGAGGTGTCAGATGGGGGGGGATGAGCGGATGAGCGGTGTGGGGTCAGATGGGGGGGATGAGCGGTGTGGAGGTGCCAGATGGGGGGGATGAGCGGTGTGGAGGTGTCAGGGGGGGGATGAGCGTGTGGAGGTGTGATGGGGGGATGAGTGGTGTGGAGGGTGATGGGGGGGATGAGCGGTGTGGAGGTGTCAGATGGGGGGGTGAGCGGTGTGAGGGTCTGGTGGGGGGATGAGCGGTGTGGATTTTCAGATGAGTGGTGTGGAGGGTCAGATGGGGGGGGGGATGAGCGGTGTGGAGGTGTCAGGTGGGGGGGGGATGAGCGGCGGTGGAATGAGCGGTGGAGGCGTCAGATGGGGGGATGAGCGGGTGTGACGGGTGGCGTCAGATGGGGGGATGAGCGGTGTTGTGAGGACGGCGTCAGATGGGGGGGGATGAGCGTGGGACGGCGTCAGATGTGGAGGCGTCAGATGGGGGGGATGAGCGGTGTCAGATGGGGGGATGAGTGCGGCGTCAGATGGCGGGATGAGCGGTGCGATTTGGGTCAGATGGCGGGATGAGATGAGGTTCTCCTATGGGACACATTCACATATATGCGTTTTTCAGCCACTGCGTTTTTAGAAAGGGTCCTGCTTGCTGCATTTCTGGTGCGGTAAAAAAAAATGCACTTTCCTATTCAAATCAATGGAAAATGTGGCAAAAATGCATAAAAAACTACGCTGAATTTTAGAGTCCTATAAAAAACACTTGGCAAACACAGCAAAATGCATGTATTTTTGCTGCAGATCAGTGTTACACAACACAGTGTGTTTCTGCTTCAGTAGACTTCAATGGACATGTGGCAGAAATGCATGTAGTACATGTATAGGTGCAACTTTGTGTGCACCACCGTAATACCTGTGATTCCTAGATGGACCTTCACCTTCATGTATTGACCCGTATATAAAGACTGGTCAAACCGACATCCTCTCCTCTGATCATCTATTTCTCTTTATGGCCACTGTATCCTCAGTGTTATCCCTTTTTATCAGCATAGCTGGCTATTTGACAGTAGCAAGACCCCCTGAGGAAGTCACGTGATTTGTGACGATACGTGTAGGGAGGAGCCAGGTGACGTCACAGCCTGAACAACGCTAGTACGGTCAGAGACGCTGCACATTATCAGCTGTATGTAATTACTCGTCATATAATACGTGTAGTCCTAACAATATTGATGATATTTCCCTTTCACAGGCAAAGTACTTGGCACAGATCCTGGTGATGGGCGCACAAGTTGTGGGGCGGGCATTCTCAAAGGCTCTACGTCAGGAGTTTGCAGGTAAATGATCATATAAGTCGGAAGATCTGCTATTTGATTTGAGGAAGTGATGTCATGTGACCCGCCCTTCCTCAAGGCCCTATTAATGCTTGTGCATTGGGGAACATGTAGTTACTGCAATCCACCTACTCTGTCCGCTGTGTGCTCTTCATTGTGAATGGCACTACAATGTGCTGTATAGTGGTGGACAACACCACACCTTATACCGTGTGCAGGGTGAGAGTTCTCTGCATTGGCAGCCCATAGAATGAGCTTCCTTAACCACTTTGTACTGTGGGTAGGCAGCCGCTGTAGGCAAAGCCACATACGGGGGCCAGGTGCATATTTTACCACAAGGCATTTGCCTAGGGGGGCAGCGTTGCCCCCTGGAAGAAGGGATATATGCGCCACGGGGACCAGGTGGGATCCAAGAGAGGCTGGGCTGCTTCATGGTGTATGCAGAGCCCAACTGTCGTTCCCGGGGATGTCCAGAGCTGTGAAGGTGAGTGTCTTTCTCTCTGTCGATGTGGATGTAATGCAGGCCATACATGGTTTGAATTCCAGGGGAGGAACTATGAAAATCGGCCGGTGCCATTGACCCACTAACAGAGCGAACATTGGCCGATTATTCTTAGGTCTGATTAGGTTCGATATTTTTTTTTTTTTTTTTTTGACCCATGTATGGCCGCCTTTCGTGGAAGTCTCTCTCGGGTGGGGGCAGTGGTGTTGTTGATCACTGTCAGACTCTCTCCCGGGGGGGGGTGGTGTTGGTCGGTGGCAGGCTCTGTCCGCGGGGGTTGGGGGGGCCTGGGTGTTGGTCGGTGCCAGGCTCTCTCTCTGATGGGGAAGGAGGCGTTCAATTTTTGTGCTGCCTAGGGCAGCACAAAATCTAAATAAACCACTGATGGGAGACATCTGCCTACTTTCGGGTTTTGGGAGCCCCCCACCGTGTCAGCACCTCCTGTGATTGTACACAGTAGTAGCCTGTCAGCAAATCCGGCCAATGATTCAAGGCTGGGACCTTCTGATTGGCTGTATACAATCACGGCTATGAGATCTGTGTGGTAAACACAGAGCTGTATACAGAGGGAGCATAACTGAATTGGCACAAATCGAATTGCATGAGAATTGAACAGGAATGCTGTGTGATTCCTGTTTGAATCGCATGCGGTTTCCCTTACCTCTCCTGTGTGAACCTAGACTTGTCAGTGACCGCAGCCTGGGTTCACACGAGCAGTGTGGAAAACCGCATGTGATTCCGACAGGATTCGCACCACATTCTTGTTTAACCACTTCCTGTCAGGCCGATGTATATGAATGGTGGCAGTGCAGGGTCGGGTGGCCGATAATAAACGGCCTCCCCGCCCCTGCTTGTGCGTGCTCCCTGGGAGCGCGCAGCACCCGCGATCCGGTGCCCGCTGTGTCTTCAGACACAGTGGAACACCGATCGTCGTTGGTACGGCCAATCAGTGATCACATGCAGAGTAGTAGGCAAGATGTCACTTCTGACATCATTGCTTACTACGTGTGAAATCTGTGAATGATCACAGAGATCACATGGTACAGGGCTATTCACAACAGCCTTGTACCACGTGACAAGCTGTGACCAATCACAGCTCACACAGTAGTTCTCAATGGCTGCAAGAATGCAGCCAGAGATTAGAAATGATTGCTTTTACAGTCTTTATGGGTGTAAAAGTAATCAGTATTAAAAAAAAAAAAATCTTCATCACCCCCCCCCCCCCCCACAAGTAGTACAGTGTCACCATGTAAAAAAAAAACAAATATTATAAAAATGTAAAAAAAAGTTTAAAATTTATAATTTTTGGTTATAAACTAATTTGGGTTTTTTATATTTTTTATTTTTTTTAACTAAAAAGATAATAAATTTTGGCCAAGATTTATGTTGAAATATTATTTATTTGCAAAATTTTATAACAAAAACATTTTTTTCAAAATTCTTGGACTTTCATTTACAAATAAAGCTTTACCTGTCTCAAAAAATGCTAAAAAATTCATATGGGTACAATGTTGCATGACCGCGCAATTGTCATTAAAGTGTGATAGCGCTGAAAATTGGCCTGGGCAGGAAGGGGGTGAAAGTGTCCGGATTTGAAGTGGTTAAATCACCTGCAATTCTTTGCAGTGTGATTTGAGCCCATATGTTTTCTAAGGGCTCCTATTGCACCACAAAGGTATCCGTAATCCGTATCGGCAAGTACTTGAGCACAAGTATTGGTACTCATACTCCCTGATTAAAAAAAACAAAAAAAAAAATGCTATCAGTGCAACCCTATTGCTGACCTTATCCTGTGAAAATGTTAGTGAGACGTCTGAATCAGTGGAATGGTAGGCTGCAGAAACTGCATATTTCCGTCTGGGTCAGCAACTCAATGTACTGAAACCAGAGGATTACCATGACTGCTCAGGCAACAAGTCTTTTCAGAAGTTTAGCATTAGCAGCCTTTTTATGATGCATATGTATGAAATATTAAAGTATAACTAAAGGCAAAATGTTTTAATTTTGGCTAGAGTGGAGACAGATTAGAACCCCTGTCAGGTGTTTTTGGTCTTGTTTTTTTTTTCTTTTGTTTTTTTGTTTTTGTTTTTTAATGCTTTTCTGTGTCCCCATTAAGGAGATTCACCTGTTTACCATATTCTCATTGAAAATAAAAGAATCTCAAAATTTTGGTTTGTCCACAGAAAAGTAATGGAGGGGGGGAATTCCTCTAATTGGAACACTTGTTGTGGTGACCTGGGGGGGGTCCCCAAGGAATTACCCTAATTTGCACATGTGTATGTATGGATGTGAGTTAGGGACCTTAGATTGTACACCCCTTGAGGGTTAGGGACTGATGTGAATGTACAATATATATGTAAAATTGACTGTGCTATATAAGTACCTGAAATAAATTTCCTCTTGCTTTCTGTTTGGCTATGGGACAGGGAGTGAAGAGAAATCTCCCCAATGATACAAAGATGGCAAACAAATCTGATGGGGGTTAAACACTCCCTTTTATCCAAAATGAGTAAAACATTTTTTTCTATAGTTCTGCTTTAACCATTGATGGTGAACACTATATACTTTTTTCCTACTTTTCCCACACTCACTTGTTTGCATCTTTTGATCAGCAAGCAGAGCAGCAGCAGAGGCAAGAGGAGGGCGGGCAGGAAAGGAGTCCGCTGCAGTCAGCAGCCTATCAGGAATCAGTTTGCAAGAAGCCCAGCAAATTTTAAACCTCTCTAAACTGGAGCCTGAAGAGATTCAGAAGGTAACAGTTATGTTGTCATGCTGCTTGCCTCATACGAACATACCTGTTTAACATGTGTTGGGGCAGCACAGTGGCTAAATGGTTAGCACTTCCGCCTGGCAGTACTAGAGTCGTTGGTTTGAATCCCAACCACGGCACCACCTGCCTGGAGTTTGCATGTTCTCCCTGTGCCTGCGTGGGATTCCTCCAGGTACTCCGGTTTCCTCCCACACTCTAAAGACATGCTGGTAGATTAATTGGCTCCTGTCTAAATTGTCCCTAGTATGTGTATGTATGAATGTAAGTTAGGGACCTTAGATTGTACACCCCTTGAGGGTTAGGGACTGATGTGAATGTACAATATATATGTAAAGTGCTGCGTAAATTGACGGCGCTATATAAGTACCTGAAATAAATAAATATGTGTTTTACTGATACTGCACAGCTTCATGTACGCCTGCATTTATGTGAGTAGTCACCAGATGGAGCTGTTACAAATCTAGTTATTTGCAAGAGCGTCACAAATGACTATTACAATTCCTTCTACCAACACAGGTTGTCAGGCTAGGCGGACTGACCATTTGGAAACTCTGGCACTGCCCGAGGGCCCGGGGTCAGTAGGGGGCCCCATGAGATGCCCCTGGTACCCTTTTTTTTTTTTTTATGGCTTTTTTGAGTTTGGGCAAGGACACAGGGGCCCCATGATCCCTTATTGCCCGGGGCCCCATGAGTTGTCAGTCCGCCCCGGCATCTGTGCAGGTAGTGCCGCTGCGGATCCACACAAAAATCCATGCAGCCGCACCACCCACACAGAGAAATGAGGATCCGAGGGCGGGTGCCATTAGTTCAAATGGCACGCCGCCCGCACTGGAAAACGCAACCGAACTGGGAACCAAGGTTCCTGTGTGGGCTGCGTTTTCAGAAGAAGTGCAGGAACTTCTTCCCTGCGGAGCACGGGAGTCCGTTCAAATGAATGGGCTCTCTTGCCTGTGCAAAACGCGGCCCACACGGCCGCATATATGTGAACCAGGGCTCAGACCGCACTAAAGTTGTTAAAAAAAAAAAAAAAAAAAATTGGCTAACTTTGCGAAACTGATTCATGGCATTTATGTTTCTATTCTGAGAATTTTGGAGTGGTGACCAAGTATAGACTTTCCTACCAGACAGAACCACGGATTCGTTATTGGGTCTGATTTGTGAACTCTGACGCAAAATGGGACCTGCGGCCCATACCAACCAGATCCCATATTTCATTTTCCAAGATGCTGAAGGATGAAGTCTGAATAATTGCTACTATTCCCCCGGGTTTCTCTCCCTAGCCTTTCTTAGTGGGTTTTATTTATTTATTTATTTTCTCCTGCCCTAGTAAAATGCCAGCTTCAGTCTGGATATTGTGGGCAAAGGTTGTATAACTTGCACCTAATGTAATGAAATGAAGGCCGTAGCAGCCAGACCAATGTTGCCGAATAGCAGTACAGAAATGTGAACCTGAGTTTGTTTTTCTTCTGCAGAACTACGACCATCTTTTTAAAGTCAATGACAAAGATGTAGGGGGATCCTTCTACCTGCAGTCCAAGGTAAAGTGGCCATCAAGGAGTTTGTACCTTCATGATACCATGTTCTTCTTGTTGCTGGCAGGTCTGCCCATTGTCTTTTCTCCCTTTCATCTGACTTCTCATCTTCTTTCCCATCCATTGGTGACTTTCCCATCTCATTCTCTCCCTCCCACCCAGCAGTGACTTCCCTCTTCATCTGTTGACTCCCTACAGTTGATCCCTTATCTTTGTCTTCTCCCTATTGACTTTCCCAGGAATCTCTCCTCCCCCTACAAACTTTCCTTTTGAAACGTTTTGCAGGTAATAAAGATGTGCATTTACTATTTTTGTTTTGGGAGTCTGTAAAGCACTGCACCAGCGATCAGCAGATTGCTGGTGCCATGAAGGACTCCTGCAGACCTGTCGGTGTATCTGTGTGCTCCTACAGGCAGGCAGATGCGCACTGACAGGAAGACTCTATGAACTGCCACAGCACCGTGGTAGTTCATTGAGAACTACAAGCTGACAGCCCCACTTGTTTTTTTCAGTCACATAATACTGTGAAGGTGTATTGTAGCGTTTTGGGGTGTTTTTTTCCAGCTGTCAAACGGGGGATCGGGGGCAGCAGTGGCCAGTCCGTTTGTGACATGTTACACCCTGAATATGGGTGTAACATGTTAAAAGGTGGACTTTTTTTTTTTTTTTCTGTTTTCAATCTTTTTATTAAGTTTTAAATAACAGTACAGGAGTACCAAAGTATGTAACAAAGTGAATTGTCTACATAATCAAGATTTATATATAAGCGACAATAATAGAAGAACATCAAAAGTGAGAGTCATGAGGGGGGAAAAAAAGGAGGGTTCAGTCAAGACCCCACATGGAGTCCTTAAGGCACATAGAATTTTTGGCATTCTTTCTCTGGTGTAAGAAGCAGTCTAGATTTTGGTTTGTGGTTTTTATTAAGGAACGATGGACTTATCCTCTCAAAGCAGAACTCTACTCACCTCTGCTCCAGCAATGTGACCTTCCTGAGCTCCCCACCCAGACACTGACCTCTCTGGGCAGCCGACTCCCCCCAAACCACACATAGAAGTGGAGCTGGCCATTTAATGTGCCTGCACAGCTTGGTGACAGGTCTGCTCACCCTCCCCACCCTTTTAACTCAATTTAAATACAAAACCTGGGTTTTCCTTTTCCCTTGGGGCCCCTGGGAGCACTTGGAGTTGACAGTTCCTGCAATGAGTGGTACATTCTCAAGGCTGAGTCATGCAGCATCCATCTGAGCCTCTTCCTGCTTAATAAGTAACAGGTGGAGATCACATCGCATTTCAGTAGCTACACTGGTGGACAAATGGATAACTGATTTAAAGAGATGGTTGTCACTGTGCCTGTTTAGGGCTGCATGACATTGTCTGCAGATAGCCCACAGTCTCCGGTATGTAACTTGCCAGCCATGCTGCATTGTCTCCTCCCGGCTGCAGCACCCCCACCTGTCTATTCTCTGTTTTTAACTGGCATCATAGCCTATAGAGGGGGAAGTCACTGCACCCCTCCCATGTTCATTCTGGAGGTTGGTTGATGGGCCCAGGCACGTGCATAGAGGTCACTTTCTCCCTCCACCTTGTAAGCGAGAGCTCCAGCAGGGCTGAACAAGTATACATGCTGGGGGAGCAACTGTCGCCTTGCCCTGAATGTGAATGGACAGGGTGTCACTTAAAGGATCAATCCAGACAGCCTTTGACTAGAGCAGAGAAGTGTTTTGGAATTGTCAGATTTTCATTGCTGTCTGTGTCCCCACTTGGCAGATTACCCGCTGTCACTGAGACTGAAAGTGGAGGAAGGCCTTTCCGCTTGTGACAAAACCAGTAATAAAAGTCTGACAAAGGCTCCACTTTGAAAAAATATTTTGACCAAGCTTGCACATTAACTGCTTCTGTGCCGCCCTATAGTGTGTGTGTGTGTGTCTACATTTCCAGGTACAGGGCGAACGCGACTGCATGCACCCCCTACCCACACCGTCATTCGTGTCCACGGCTGTCAATCACCGACCCGGCTGGTGATTACTCACCGGCGCCCATTGATTTCTGAGGATCTCCAAAGCGAAGGAGAACTATTTTTTGTTTACAGTTCTCCTCCCGGTCAGCTTAGGCACCCTGCTTTGGATGGTTGTGCACAGCTATCCAAAGCAGTGTGATCACAGTGAAGCACACTGACACAGCCCCCTAGTAGAACATTCCCTGCACACAGTTAACACTTTGATCGCCCCTCATGTTAGCCCCTTCCTGCCCATTCCCATTCGTACAGTGTCGGTGCTTTTTTTTTTTTTTTTTTTTTTTAATTATTATTCCCCTAGCACTGATCACTGTATTGGTGTCACTGGGGATGTCAGTGACAGTCATTCCCCGCAGTCCCACTATAAGTCGCTGATTGCCGCCATTACTAGTGAGGGGGGAAAAAAAAATCCCAGTATACATACTGCCACTTGTAAATGCTATAACTTTTTCACGTAAACCAATTAATTTACAGGTATTGGGATTTTTTTTAGCAGATTACATTTTGGCGTAAATTTATGCCGAAATTTTCTTTTTTTTGTAATTTTCTTTTTTTTTTTTACTGGACATGTTTAATAGCAAAAAAAAAAAAAAAAAAAAAAAAAAAAAAAAAAAAAAAATAAAAATAATATATAAATAATATATATATATTATTTTATTTTATTATTTTTTTTTACATGTGGTTCTGGCTGTGTGAAAGGGGCCTGAAGGTGAACTTAATCTTTAATCGCCCTATGTTAATGAGGCCAGATTAACCTGCCACCTGGTTTCCCTTGAAGAGATGCTTCACATTTTAGTGCGGCAGCATACAGATGTTGAAATGGGAAATTGCATGCTAAAAACATTGGTCACTTGTTGGGAGTCCTCTTTCTTTCTTTTTTTTTCTTTCTTTTTTTTTTTTTTTTTTTTTCTTTCTTTCTTTTTTTTTTTTCTTTCTTTTTTTTCTTTTTCTTTCTTTTTTTCTTTTTCTTTCTTTCATCTTTCTTTCTTTCATCTTTCTTTTCATCTTTCTTTCTTTCTTTCATCTTTCTTTCTTTCATCTTTCTTTCTTTCATCTTTCTTTCTTTCTTTCTTTCTTTTTTTTCTTTCCAAATTGGTGTGTTCCTTTTTTTTCTTGGCATTAAGGACAACCCAAGTTGGGATTTGCCCAATTTCTCAATAGATAATGTTGAAACTTTCTATGTTGACAAAAGCCACCTGATTCTCCCATGGCTCGTCCTTGATAAAAGGAAGGATTTATTTATGGTGGTAAAAGGATACGAAGCTTCTAAGATCTCTAGTTAGAATGCTTGAATTGGAGAATCTTGTTTAAATGTAATCGTCAAATGTCTCAAAGCTGAAAATCCAAACAAAGCAATATTTTTGCCTACTGCATTTTTTTTTTTTTCCCAGGTTGTGCGAGCCAAGGAGCGGCTAGATCTGGAGTTAGAGATACAAGATAAAGAAGATAAACCTGAAGAGGCCAAGACCACGTGAAGCCCAGTCTGTGCCTCAGCCTGCACTTTACATGGCTTAAGGGAGTCTGTACTCTGCTGAGAGAACTGTATCTGTATAGAGACTTCGAGGCCACAGAGCAGTCTGCCATACTCGGCATGGAGGTGCCCTTCTTGTATTTTTAAGTTAAGACACGTAATTATTGCTATCAGCCAAAATGACAGAAAAGTAGCTCACCTGATCTAATCTGATATACAATGTAAATGGCGCCCATGTAGTATCAAATCTCACAAATACTCCATCCCCATGCCTAATGTGCATACAAAAGTCTCAAATATAAATCGTACAAAATTATTCTCCATATGAAAGGGGGGGGAGGTGAATCTCTCATAAAAAGCTTCTATATTCTATAGTGTGTATTTAATTCATACATAATTGCCAAATTGATTAAATTGTGCATCCATAACCACTTGTAAAATATTCCACAACACAAATGCCTAAAGTGGAACTTGACCCTCTCATCAGCACTGACTATTTGTAATCCTTCTGCTGCTAGCATTAGTAAATGGAAAGGAAAGCATATCCTATTTACTTGTTAAACTTTTTTTTTTTTTTTTTTTTACTTTTACATTTCTTCAGTTACTATCTGGTTTCCATGCCTAGGCAAATGTCATACATCCCAGGAGCCTTCAGGAGGGGAGGGAGTGTTCTCAGCCCAGCCAATGCCTGAGCTAAGGGCAGATGGATTCCAGGAAGGAAATGCTACATGAATCATCTGCCCTTACTCAAAATGGCCACTGCCAGAAGTGCTAGGGGGAGTTTTTTTTTTTTTAAAAATTTCAGCAAAATAAAGCTTGGAGACATGGATGGATGGGGGAGTTTACTTCGAATATTAAATCCTTGGCAGATGCACATACGTTTTTCTTAATTGCACGCAAATGTGCGGCCGCTCAGCGTCAAGGCCCAGACGCCGGTAGGCCGAACATTTGCGTGCGGCTGGCACGAAGAGGTTAACATTGAATTTAATAGCATTTTTGGTGTGTTGTACTCAGATGCAGTGTAGTTCCACTTTGAGTACACATCGTATATACTGTATACACTTCATATATAATGCCTCAATTGCTGAATGAAATGAAAACTAAATTGTGCATCCATGTAAATTAAAAACCATATGAACACACGTAATTGTAGAAATGAACAATGCTTATCTGTCCACCAAGTTCCAGTCCTTCAATATGAACATGTGTGATGTCTGTATGTCTCCTACATGTTTCATCAGATATCTCCTCCTCCAAAACCCATTGATCTTTACTCATGGTTTCCTTTTCTCCAAGCTTAAAGCGGAGTTCCACCCAAAAGGGGAAGTTCTGCTTTAAAGACTGCTCTCCATTAAGGATTGGCACCTTTGGGGTGGGGGGGAGCGGGTACCAGAATTTGACAGGTACCCGCTCCCACTTCCACTGCGTTCGCCTAGGCATCGGAAGTGGAATGTGTCCTCCTTCCCTCCCTCCCTCCCCGTAGTCTTGTGGAACACATGACAGGTCCCAGAAGATGGGCGGGGCCATTCAGTAAGCGCAGCGCTTCTTACGCATGCGCAGTGGGCACCCGGCTGTGAATCTGCAAGCTGTTACAGCCGGGTGCCCACACTGAAGATGCCGGCACCTGGAATACAGGACGGCCAGTGAAACAAGCTGTGGTGGGGGCACCGCGGGATCGTGGAACAGGTAAGTGGCTGTTTTTTTTTAAAAGTCAGCAGCTACAGTTTTTGTAGCTGCTGACTTTTTTTTTAATTTTTTTTTTTTTTACAGAGGTGAGTGGAACTCCGCTTTTAAATTTCTCAATTATTCACCAGGCCCTCAATCTGATTAACCGTTCTGTTATTAACTGGGTTTGATCAACTTTTTGTTCTGAGCCCCCCGAGGATATCACCATTTGAAACAGGAGAGAGCCAGATGTATTGATGTGTTCATACACTTTTGAATGACTGGGGCCAGACCTTGGATTACAGATAAGTGCTGTTAGGCCTGATATGGGAGTGTATTAAATGTTTAGTAGTGGTTTACTGGATCTGCACCAATGGAAGTTTTTTTTGTTTTTTTTTTTGTGCTTGCATGTGACCCCTTTTCGAGTTGGGCTGAGCTTTGGAGGTGCTAGTAGGCCACGTATTTCTTTTCTGGGTTATGCCCACTTTCAGGATCATGGCACTATGGGTAGCGTCTAGCTTGCATCATGAGGTGGTGTGGATTTCACGTGGATTCTGTTTCTACACTTTGGATGATTGGAATATGGATTACTCACTCATTTACTGGGATTGTGACTGAGTGCACCTAAGCACTTTCTCTTGGGAATATCTTATGGTTGTACATATTTAAAATTCAACCTAATTTTTCTATAGCTTTTTAGTGAATGTTTCACGGTTGTTACATTCATGTACATGCGTTTTGTGGATGCACAATTTATTACGTTTGTATAACTAGAGCACTGAAGTACACCCCATTGAATATGGAGGCTTTTTTTAAATGGGCCTTTCTGAGATTCACTAGTCAGATGCACGCTTTTGTATATTTGAGTTATATTTGAGACTTTGTTTTGTATGCAGATTAGGCATTTCTTGTGAGAATGGAAAATATGTGAGATTAGCATCACACTTGCACCATTTGCAATTTAAGGTATGACTGATAACAAAGCTTTATATTTTTGTAGGTTATTTCCGGAAGTCTTTAGAGCCCAAAGTGCTCCTGTCGCCTCCTCACCTTGGAGGTGGACATTTTATGGTAGAACATGTCACGTTCTCTTAAGAATTGTCATTTGCAGGTGTGATTGGTCACTGTTAGGTGACACTGGTGCATTGCCATGATTGGCCTTTGTAAGGCCTAAACTACATTTTTAGTAGCTCGGTCATGCTGTTAAATATGGCTGCGAGTTAATGGAAACCATTCTTGAGACATGCAGACTGCCACCAATAACATCTCGTGCTGTAAATGCTAGTTGCCTGGCTGTTGTGAAGACCTTTAATACTTTATATTGCTGTCACAGAACACAAAGGACTGTTCCTATACCTGTTCTGTATTTGTTCCAGGCCAGTGACCTGCCAATGTGGTGAAGGAAGTGGTAAGGATCGGCATAATCGGGGAACTGACATTTCCAGAAGGTCAGCGGTGGCAGCCTCCATGTCTTTTTGGGAAAAATTCACTTTAATTGCTAGTAGCAATCTTTCACTAACAGATGAGACCCAATCCCGTGTGTAAGCTCCCCCCCCCCCCACTGCATGTGGTAGTGATATTTATGCATTATCCCGCAATCCTGTGTTGCCGCTGTAACTTGGACCTCCTGGCTGAGTGCTGTTCAGCAACCTTTAGGCCCCTTTCACACGGCCGTTTTTGTATGTCCGTTTTTTTTTCATCTGGCCGGTTTACGGATGAAAGTCAGACACCCATGTATTTCTATGGACTAGTGGATGTTAACGGATGATCATCTGTTAATGTCTGCATCCATGTGTGGTGGTTTTTTTTTTTTTTTTTTTTTTAATTTACAGAAGAAAACCCTCTTTTTCTTCTGGTTTAAAAAAAATAAAAATCAAACCCCAAAACGGATCAAAAACAGACATGAGCTGATCCTCCTTGTTTTTTTCCAAGAAAAAAAAAAAAAAAAAAGTGACTTAACTGATGAAAAAAAACATAATGTCCGTGTGAACGGGGCCTTAGTCTGTCTCACAATTTGAAGTGACTTTTTGCTGCAGGTACTGTAATTGTTGAATTTTTGTCTTCTGAATAAAAACATTGTTTCAAGAAGTTATTTCTGAGTGTACCCTTATTTCCCACTATATAACCCCGTGTTGACCTAATATTACAGACTATTACACAGGTTGTAGTCTTTGGGGCCCAATCACTGTTATGCTGTGGTTACATGTTTTATTGCATCTTACTGCAACACGTGTACCATGGTGCCTTGCAGTGTAATTCATATTTGAGTGCCTCTCCAGCCCACTTCGCAGTGCACTGCAACACCCACTGAAGCCATTACCACTGCATTGTGTGTACTGCATGGAAGAAATGGCACCAATCTGATTTTTGCTGTGTAATTGCATTGGTAGCTCACAGGCTGCCCAACATGCATAGGTCACATTTTGCATAATTTTAATAAAATGCACCTACATTAGTAAAATGAACATTTTCCTTTTTATTACAGTTTTGCACGTTTTACTGCAGAGCACTGCAATCATGTTCACTGCACAGGCTCTGCCATTGATTACATCCCAGCCCCAGGTCTGTGTGGAGGTACAGACTTTCCTGTCATGGGAATGGAGTGAAAATTGCTGCATTTGTGCTCAACCAGAGTCTCACTGTTGCTGTGGAAGTTGGGGGGGGGGGGTGTTGGGCTTGTGGTCTTTCTAGTCACAAATCCATGTGAATGGGTGACATGGGCTGGTGTTAGACTATTTTGCCCCCTAGGCAAGACCAGCTACTTGTCCAAAGGACAGCAGGCTCTGGGATCACTCACTGACACATTGCACATGTGATGGATGGCCAGCTGGGTAACACTCGCAAAGACACGAGACATCAGAGTCGGACATTACCTTCCTGTACAGGCACAGCTCTGCCTCTGCTATTGAATGGGAAGAGAAGGGCTGGAACTCCACAGTGATCAGCAGTAAGGGACTGAGTCTGAGAGGAACACTGGAAGAAGTGGCAACTCGAGTGCTACACTTTTCCCCAGACACCTGGCATCTTATTGTGTCTTTTCTTCCTCCCCCAATCCTACACAGAGTGCCATCCTGTGCTGTGCCAAGGCCCCCCCTAGGCGGCTGCATAGTTTGCCTAGTGGAAGCACCCCACAATTTAGGCTGCTTTCACACTGCTTCGCTTTTGATGCATTCTTCTGTAAAGTAGTAATAAACTTGCACATTATGAAAGACTTAACTGAAAACAAAGCCCTCCAGTGTTGTCTCTGCTCCCTGGGCCTTCCATCTTCACCCAGTCTTCCAGGTTCACGGGCTGTGGCCAGTTTTGACTGACCAAGCCGCAATGATGTCACTCCCACGC